TGCTTACTTGTGTATGCACGCTAACGCGCGCATTTACGTTTGCTAATATCTAGTTATCTGATTTACCCACTTCTCACTACTCAGTCGTAATTATTCTTGCGGGACAAACTACTAACCATTACACCGCTTCGGGGTGCCCATATGCTCACGCATGTATGATCTTAGTAGAGAACAATGTATCCTCTCCGGTAGACAACAATTAATATATATAATGTTTAATAGATAAACGGGGTGTCTACTTAAATACGAGTATCTGCTGAAAATAACGTTTAAGTAATAGAAATGTGTCGTATTAATAAATTTAAAAAAAAAATACATTCCTTTCTTTACAAATTGCTTTGTTTACGTTAGGATACGAAACTGATCAAATGTATATATATATATATATATATATATATATATATATATATATATATATATATATATATATTGTTTATAAACATTGTTTACACACACACACACACACACACACACACACACACACACATATATATATATATATATATATATATATATATATATATATATAATATATTTTGGTTATCACCAGTCGAAGTGCAATTGAAATGCACTGAAACGAAGTTGCATCTTTGTATCGTAAGTAAATTGTTTTTGTCTACAACGTATGTAAATATAAAATTGGATACTGTGACTCGCACCGAGAGGCTTCAGTCTTTTCCATGTTTGAACGCAATCTTCAGGCCTGAAACGATGCAGCTTCGAATCCTGTCCAATAGTGCAATTATATCAACAATAAGATTTCGCAGGCTGATAGGTGAAAATACTGTTTAATAAATAAACGAAGCGCCTATTCAAATACGAGTATCCACTACATATAGCGCTTAAAGTGATGGCTTGAGGTATTCGGATGCCTTGACGCACTTAGGAGCTGTGATACAGCGAACCAGTACTGTCTGAAAATGACATAATTTAGCTCTTGAAAATATATTCCACTTGAGCACTGTTGAGAGACAAGCTAATTTTATAAACAACAGCCACCTGCGTTAATGCAAAGCTCTTCAGTAAAATGAATTGGAGCACTCCGACTGGTTGGCGTTTGTTTACATTCATAAAAGCAATACGCTAGATTCAGCTGTTTCTCTCTGTCGAGTGAAGACAGCTCAGCGGTAGAAACTCTGAGTGACACCAAGTCGGTTGGGTTTCAATCCTGGCTAGAGGCATTTGGATGTCTAATCGGACTGAGGAGCTGTGAAACAGTACCGTCTTCGAATGACATAATTTAGCCCTTGAAAATATATTTCCATTGAGCACTGTTGATTGATAAAGCTAGTTCTATAAACAACAATGTAAAGCTCTTCAGTTAAATGAATAGAGCACTTCGTAAAAACAATGCGCTAGATTTAACTGTTTTACTCTGCCGAATAAAGATAGCTCAGTGGTAGAAACTCTGACTGACACTGGGTTTCCATCCTGGCTTGAGGCATTCGGATGTCTTGACGCACTTAGGAGCTGTGATACAGTGAAACAGTACTGTCTGCGAACGACACACACACACACACACACACACACACACACACATATATATATATATTATTGCAAATATTTTTATCAATTTAAAAAAAGTGCGATGAAGGTAGTGTGTGGTAGGTTTTATATTGAAAATGTTTTTTTCCTTAAAAGACTTGATGGAAATGTCCTCAGTGATTTTTGGTGGGGTAAAATGCTTTGGAGTAGGCGAGTTGTTGCCCAGGGAAGGAATGTTACGAATGATTCATGATCTTAATCATTTTTAATCAATATTGGAACAGGATCCTTCCCTCCCGGAGGGGAAAAGCGAGTTAGTGGCGGTGGCGATGGTGGGAGTGTGGAATTAGGATAATAGCCTCTCTACTGTTCACCTTGTTCTCTCTCTCTCTCTCTCTCTCTCTTCTCCACACAACCCTCCGACAGCATTCTCTTCCATTCTCCCTCCAAACCATTTCTTGCAATCGCCATTAACACATTGATTAAGCAATTTGAAGAAGGATTGGCGTTTATGCGTTCGTTCGCACGGGCTACGTTCATTTGCCTTGGAATTTTCAGCCCATCTTTCCCTCCAAAAAAACACTTTTAAAAATCTCCTCCCAATCTAAGAGCCGCAAAGCCCTTTCTATATTTCATCTTATTAAGTACTTTTTTTTTTTTATTTTAAATGCTTGTTGCAATTCAAGATGGTTATACATTTTTTTGTTTATGTGTTTGAATTTTGTAACTACATTTTTTTCTTCTTTTGCGTCTAAAAAGAATTTGTGTCAGGTGTATGAAGGCGAGTGAAGATATTGTTGTAAAGAAGAGAACTACATTTGCGAATTGGTAGGCCTTAATTACTTACAGAATGGCATGGGTGTGGTCAAGATATTATATTCAAGTAAAGAAGATCTATCTATCTATCTATCTATCTATCTATCTATCTATCTATCTATTCTAGTTTGTTCATATCTACCTCTGTTCTTATTAATTTATCTATATATCTCAGTCTGTTCATATCTATCTATTTATCTGTCTATTTTTTAATCATTTTACTCCAAGCAAGGCGATAATGCCACTAAGACACAAGGAGTTATTGAGAGTAAAAGAGAATGAGAAGACTTTAAGAGAAGGAAGTGGAAACTCATGGAACAATGGCTAAACATTTACTCCTGTTCAAAAGATGGGGAAGGGATGTGAACCGGTTGATAGGTGTACATATCTATCTATCTATCTATCTATCTATCTATCTATCTATCTATCTATCTATCTTAGTTTATTCATTATCTATCTATCTATCTATCTATCTATCGCAGTTTATTCATTATCTATCTATCTATCTATCTATCTATCTATCTATCTATCTATCTATCTATCTATCTATCTTAGTTTATTCATTATCTTTCTATCTATCTATCTATCTATCTATCTATCTATCTATCTATCTATCTATCTATTCATTATCTTTATTATCTATTATCTATCTATCTATCTATCTATCTATCTATCTATCTTAGTTTATTCATTATCTATCTATCTATCTATCTATCTATCTATCTATCTATCTATCTATCTGATAATGAACACAAAATCTGGTATTCTTTCTTTGGTTTTATTCATTTTCGTTTCCTTCCTCTTGGAGGTCCTTCCTGTATGTTTCTGCAGATTCAACCAGTTGCAGATTGAGAATATTTGTAAGAATCCAGAGAATTTCCAAAAAGCAAAACTTATATTTATCGAACGTCGAGCATTCAAATTAGGTGATGTGTAATTTGCTGTAGCTTCCTGGCTTTTAACAGATCTACTGCCATTTCTCCTGAACTCATTGTTAGGGCATTGCCTGTCTTGTGTTTTATTCGTTCGTAACGTGTGTTGTACACACTTAATCTGTTACATTTTTTCTTGAAATGTAGAATATAAACTTTTGTATTTTATTAAATATATATTGAAAATTAAAAACGATAATTAGTTATTTTCTGTTAGATCTTAAATTCACCTTGTTTTTCGTCAAAAAATATTATTATACAAATTAAGATTTTATTTTTATCGATAAACAATTTTTCACGCTGTCACCTTTTCGAAATATCTTTGCTACTCCAGAGTGTACACAAATAATTTTTATATCAGAATTTTCCTTAATCTTTCTTTTCGTTAACGATGCAATATAAGCTTTCATTTCTTCTACTATAATGAATTGGTATTCTTTCAGAGGTTGTTCTCGCCTTGGCTTGAACGACAATTCGAACTCAGGTTCGCTCCATACTTATGAAACTTGTAAAAAAACCTTCGCTTAAAATTCTTGAAAAATGCTCAGTTCTTTGTATCGTTCCCGTAAGTACATGACTACTATACTCCATCTTTACAATATCAAACTAAAAATGGAGAACTGCTGCCCACTCCTCATTTGCCAGTCTTATGGGCAATTATTTATTTTCTGCTCTACAGTCACCATGCGCACAGAAGCATAGCAAACCTCTCACTACTCTATCGCTATTTCCACGGCAAATGTCCCGACGAGCTACAATCCTTAGTTCCACCAGTCTTGAACTTCTCAACTTGGACCCACTATGCCATGTGCACTAGAACGAATCACGCCCTTCGTATTCCATTAGTAAGGAAGAAGTCCCGTTCGAGCAACTTTTCCGAAGAACCACTTTTCATTGAACATACTCATAAGAGGATGCTTCACAGATTGCTACAATCATAATCTCCTTACATCTAGCAGATATCTTTCCTACATATCCTCATATGATGAACTTCTTACTCCCTTCTATTAAGTGCAAAAACTGCAACCAGTAAGCCTCTACTTTGAGTGGCTCATGGGCTTTGTAGTGGGTAAACATTTACTAAATAATTAAAATAAAATAACATTTTCTTTTATGTACATTTTCTTTCCGCCCGTGCTGATTTCCTGTCAAAAGGTTTCTGTTCATACCGACATAATAAACTTATTTACATAGCGTTTATATTGTATTAAATACTATAATTTACTGATGATTTAATGTATGTATGTACTAGTATAACGAAAGATGTCTTCCAAAATCTAAGCAAAGTATTAAGAAACAAAACTTTCGTTAGAAAAAAGTACTGAACTGTAATGTAATATCAGTCCTCTTATATGGCAGTGAATGCTGAACAATCACTTCACAGATGAAAAAGAGACTTGTGTCAACAGAAATGGTATTCTACAGAAGGATTCTAAGAATACCATGGACTAAACATGTGAGTAATGAGGAAGTTTTAGAGAAAATGGAAACAAAAATACTTATCAGAAAGTGACAGTTGAAATTTCTAGGGTACATAACGAGGAAAGAGCGCTTGGAAAATTTGACACTCACAGAACAGATTGAAGGCACAGAGGAAGACAGTGTATGACCTACATACTAATTTACCCATAGCTGGAGGAGAGAAGAGGCTGATTCATAACTTTCACAAGGGTATTTGCATGTAAATGAATATAATGAACCCAACTGAAATAGAACTCAGCTCTTTGATTAAAATTTCTGAGCCATTATGCCACCCACACATCCAGACATACAGCACCTTGTATTCCCATGCAGTCACCCATATAGGTACTGACCAGCATCGATGCTGCTTAACTTCGATGATCGTACAGGAACTGGTGTTTCAACGCTATATAGTTGTAAGCTGATGCCTAGCTGTCATGAGTTCAATTCCTGGGTTAAGCAGGAAAAACTACATACTCTGGCTCAATAGAAAAAGTAAAAAAAACAAAAAAAAAAAACAAAAAAAAAACAATATGAGTTAAGCCCCCGTCTAGCCTGGCCAAAAGAAGACGAGGAAGAGGAGGCGTGTTGATGAAAAGTGGCTGGTAAACTAGAAGTAGTGTGGAGAAAAAGTGAATATGAGTGAGAAGAGATAAAGAAATGGGAGGGGGGAGAAGAGACAGAGTAAGAAATAGGGGAGAAGAGATAGAGTAAGAAATAGGGGAGAAGAGATAGAGTAAGAAATGGGGGAGAAGAGATAGAGTAAGAAATGGGGGAGAAGGGATAGAGTAAGAAATGGGGGAGAAGAGATAGAGTAAGAAATAGGGGAGAAGGGATAAAGTAAGAAATGGGGGAGAAAGGATAGAGTAAGAAATGGGGGAGAAGGGATAGAGTAAGAAATAGGGGAGAAGGGATAGAGTAAGAAATGGGGGAAAGAGATATAGTAAGAAATAGGGGAGAAGAGATAGAGTAAGAAATAGGGGGAGAAGAGATAGAGTAAGAAATGGGGAGAAGGGAGAGTAAGAAATAGGGGAGAAGGGATAAAAAAATGGGGAGAAGAGATAGAGTAAGAAATAGGGGAGAAGAGATGGAGTAAGAAATAGGGGAGAAGGGATAGAGTAAGAAATGGGGGAAGACAGATAGAGTAAGAAATGGGGGATAAGAGATAGAGAAGAAATGGGGAGAAGAGAGAAAAAAATGGGGAGAAGGGATAGAGAAAGAAATGGGGGGGAAGAGAGATAGAGTAAGAAATAGGGGGAAGGGATAAAGTAACAAATGGGGAGAAAGGATAGAGTAACAAATAGGGGAGAAGAGATAGAGTAAGAAATAGGGGGAAGAAGAGATAGTAAGAAATAGGGGAGAAGAGATAGAGTAACAAATAGGGGAGAAGAGATAGAGTAAGAAATAGGGGGAGATAGAGATAGAAATAAGGGAAAGAGGGGAGAAGGGGGAGAAGAGATAGACTAAGAAATAGGGGAGAAGGGATAGAGTAAGAAATGGGGTGAAGAGATAGAGGTAATGGGGAGAAGGGATAGAGTAAGAAATGGGGAGAAGAGATAGAGTAAGAAATGGGGAGAAGGGATAGAGTAAGAAATAGGGGAGAAGGGATAGAGTAAGAAATGGGGGAGAAAGGATAAAGTAAGAAATGGGGGAGAAGAGAGAGAGTAAGAAAAAAGAGGTGTTGATTAGGAAGAAGCAAAAAAGAGAAATGTAGATAGAGATAAAAAAAAAAGACTGGTTTGGTTTGGTTGTTTTTTAGAGGTATATCAACACCTCTATGGGTTATTTAATGACAAAATGTAAGTATTTTACACGCTATTTAATGACTGAAACTACACATATTTTGTACATAATTTTCTACTTTCAAGGCAGACGTATTTTTTTTTAGATATATTGTTTGTAGATCATAAGATGTATGGTAATTTTGCTGGTAATTTTGCTGGTAATTTTGCTGGTAATTTTGCTATCAAAATGTATTTTTATACTTTAATACTTTAATGCTTATACTGATTGACATTTTGCTATAAAATATAGTACAACTGGTAATTTTGTTATAAAAATATATTACTACTTGTCATTTTTTTTACAAATATATTACTGGTATTTTCACCATAATGTATTTTTATACTTTCTGGGTGAATTATCAAACAAAAGTCAAAACACTATTTTCCCATAGCTGGGACCCTAACAGGTGCTACCACCTCGGGTCAGGGTGGACTTGGAACAACATCAATTAAGGAGTGGTTCCACGCTTCTACAAAACCTCCAATCTCTCGATCAGAGACCTTGCTGCCGGATGTAGTTCATCGTCATATCCAGGACTAAGGAGAAAAATAAGTCGAATAGAAAGGAAGAGATTAGGTAAAGTAAATGTGTAGATGAAGAAAAGAAAAAAAAAGTGTAACTGAGAGAGTGGAGAAATACCGAGAAAAAGACGAGGCTTTGATGGAGAAGAAGGAGAAGTGTAGATGAAGAAGAGGAAGTGTAAATTAGAGAGAAGAGAAATAGTAAGAAAAAGAAAAGGTGTTGATGAAGAAGAAGAAGAAAAGAGAGATGTCGACAAAGAAGAAAAGTGTAAATGAGAGAGAAGTGAAATAATAAAAAAGAAAGAGAAAAAAAGAGGCGTTGATGAAGAAGAAAAACGGAAGTGTAAGATAAAGAAGACAAAGTAATGTTGACGAAAGCGATTGACTGATTTGTTTTTTACGGTTTATCAAACCTTTTGCGGGTTATTTAAAGCCAGAAATATTTTTTAAATTGTAAGAATTCTTTAGTAGATAATAAGGATTTTACTGATACAAGTCCCACTAATTAACCCATATCTGGGGGAAAGAATGGTGGATTCATACATTTCGCAAGTGTATATAAGGAACCCAACTGAAATTGGAACTCGGCTCTCTGATTTCAAATTCTGAGTCGTTATCATGATACCGCCCGTACAGCAAAGCTTACAGCGCCTGGTATTCCGATGCAGTTACCCATGTACATAGGTATTGATCAGGCTCAATGTTGCTTAACTTGAAAGTAGCAAAAAGAAGAGAGGTGAAAGTAAAAAAAAGTCTTGTTGAAGAATAAGACGAGAGCGAAGTAATTTTGATGAGGAAGAAGTAGAAGAAAATGAAAGAATCAAATTACAAATTTTTTTAAAAATTGCACACATGTATTCATTAAATATAGCTTAATTTTTTTTCATTTAATATACGCCATTTTTTATCTTTCTATTCTTTTTGATAATTTATTGTATGTTAAAATGTATGTGTATGTGCATGTGTGTGCATAAACGGAATAATTATTCTGAATATCAGGCTCTTTTAATTAATCACTAACTACTAGATTTAATAATTAATTGGGCTTAATGAAATATTTAATTAAAAGGGTCTTGATTAAATTCGCACAAGCCTTTGTCATCTCAAATCGCTTTGTATCTTTTTACAAGTGCTTACTAATTTTTCTTCAAAAACGTGCCCTAAATCCTATGAAATACTTGAAAAGAATCGTGCTTTTTTAGTTTGTTAGAATGTTAAAATATTTATTGTTGGTGCGGGTGTGTAAGTATATCAATTCCTTACACTTTGATTCGGTCAGTGAGTGAATTTTAGTCTTTTGTCTCAGACGAGCGAATGAAACAAGAGTGGTAATATAATTCAACAAAAATAAACCGAAACATCTATTGATAGAAGGAATAAAATTTCAAAAAAATCATCGGAGGTTTGAGTAGATCAACCGCGTTTGGGTTGAGAAGTTTGCTATCTACTTACTGTTCGTTTTTGTTGGTACGTTTTCATTGTTCTCGTTTCCGTGCTTTTTTTTAAACCTGAGAACGTGCTGTGGATTTGAATCAACACACAACAAAAAAGCGAGAAAGGTTTTTAAATATAAAATATTTTTATTTTCGTGTTTTTCAACTAACTTTTTCGCGTATGAGTGTTAAAGTGAGTGTTGAAGTTCCTTGTTTGTAGATGCTTGCTAAAATGAAATAAATGTGATTTCTTCGGGTGTATGTGTGAAAAAGAGGCAAGGGAGAAATCAAGGAGGAAAGTGTAAGTGTCACATAGCTTGATGAAGAAGACGGGTGAATGAGTATGGGCAGCTCTTTTAAGTTGATGCGCCGTGAACTTGTATGTTACTGTCCTTTCTCCTTACTGGCTTGTCTGGTTTAGAAACTTTGCTTAATATACTCCTCAAAGGGATTACAAAGCATGTTTTCTATTGTCGGTGGGAACGCGATCCGTTGTTTGAGAAATGTCATTTTCAAAGGATTAGTTTATTAAACGGAAGGATGAGTAAATCCTCTGATTTAGAAACTATTTTTGTGATTTAATGTTTGACTGTCATGCTATTCAATTCCGTCTTCGTTCCACAAATGGTTGTCAGTGAGAGAAAGAATGAACAAGCCCTTTAACGGAACAAATTCATTGCATCCTTTGACATTGTCAGTCTGTACACTAATGTTCCCCTCCAAGACACTTTACAGATCTGAACTGATGCTCACTATAGGGCACACACGGGTCCCCTCCCATAATTCCTGAAATATTGTTTTTGGAATGTATGCATTTAGCAAGAGAGAGGTGGAATTTAGTTTCAATATTTTCATGTATGTCCAAATCGGTGGGGTTTCAATGAGCAGTCCCTTGGGTCCAACGTTAGCCAATATTTTTGTTGGTTTTCAGGAAAACCTTCTCTTTGAAAGACACTGAAAACCTTATGTATACTTATGTTATGTAGACGACACTTTTTCTGTCTTTGATTCCAGTGAGGATGCGGAAGCCTTCCATGTCCAACTCAATTCCCTTCATCCTTCCTTTCCGTTCACTATGGAGGCAGAGAGCAATATTGCGCTGTTTTTTTTTTGGATGTATTGGCTGAACGGAAGGAAGTGTCGTTCATTAACGGTGTGTCGCGAAAACCTACTTTCACGGGTCTGTGTACCAATTGGAATTCTTTCGTCCACAAGCCCCACAAAATAAACCTGTTTTCTACATAATGGTATGTTCTCTCAGACAGGTTTGATACAGAAATAGAGAACATATATAGCATTTTCAGTGATAATGGATATCCTAAGAATGCCATCAAACGCGCACGGTTGAACGTAAAATTAAATGCTTCAAGGGTCCAATGGCTTTTTGTCCTGCCCTCTGTCCCATGTATTTGAAATTGTCTTGGCTGGCCACTAGCTAAAAAAGTGTTGGCCTGTCTCACATCGGGTTTTTGGGCGGTTAGCTTACGTATTGTCTTCGGACCTAAACCGGGTTTTCCCTCGTACGTCAAAGATGGTCTGTTCTAGCGCCAAGGCAGTTCTATTGTTTACAAATTCAAATATCACCGTGAAGCTGACTATGCAGAACGAACCAATCAGCGACTCTAAACTCAGATCGGACAACATATTCCTGTGAATATAAGACATGGTGTTTTTAATTGAAGTACGCATTGTACCCAGTATGTTCACGACTCGGCTGATGGTCAGCATTTGTTAGACAATCCAAAGTGTGCGACAAGATATAGAAACGATTCGCCGACTGTCTTGTACAGATCTTGATCCGATCGGCATTTACGCATTTTTTTGGTCTGTTTTTTTAAACATTTTTCATCTACCGGTTTATGCAATTGAGAAAACTTAATAAAGAAAATTTGTCCCCCATTTTTAAAAAGGGGCTTTTATTCCAAATACGGGTATCCACTAAGAATAACGTTTGAAGTAATGAAATATGGCGGATTAAGAATGAAAATCCATTATATATATATATATATATATATATATATATATATATGTATATATGTGAATAGATAGGTAGATAAATTATTGTGGTCATATTTCGGCAATCGAGAAAACTTAATAAAAAAAATATGTACACCTATTTAAAAAAGGGGCTTCTAATTCAGATACGGGGATCCACTAAAAATAACGTTTGAAGTAATAAAATAGGTCGGATTAAGAATGAAAATCCATTGTGTGTGTATATATATATATATATATATATATATATATATATATATGTGTGTGTGTGTGTGTGTGTGTAAGCAAATATATGGATATAGATCCGATAGTATGAAGAAAATATACGGAAAAAAAAACAAAAATCCTAATATGCAATTATGTTGTTTTAATGTTAATATAATGTCAACGTCGGACATTATATTATGAATATGTCCTGAAGATGGTCTACTAGACCGAAACGCCTGACGTTGACATTATATTAACATTAAAACAGCATAATTGCATATTAGGTTTTTTATTTGTTTTTTCCGTATATTTTCTACATATATATATATATATATATATATATATATATATATATATATATATATATATATATATATATATATATATATGTTTATAAGTGGATAGATAGGTAGATAAATTATTGGGGGCATATTTCGGCAGCAATTTTCATTTGCGCATAAGCAACGAAACTGCTTTTTTTTTAATTTCATTTCATTTGGTTCGACCATTTTTTACTTTCCGCCGAGAATTTGAATATAAATTACCCAATGTGTTCTGAGTGCTTCCAGCTTATGCGCCATTATCAACAAAATATTTTGGGGGTTGTGTCTATATGTATACATTGTGTGTCTTTAATGCTTTTTCGAATATTACATCTTCAGTCATTAGTAAGATCAAAAGTAAGCCTTTCTTATGATTTGTAACGAATGAGTAGGCACCAGGGTAGAGTCCATCGCTCTTTTATTCCTTTTCATCATTAATATTATGATCTTGGATATTTCATTTTCAATCCATTTATATCTTCCGGCTTAAAGCCATATCTCGTTGAAAGAGCGGAAGTTAAGCAATAGTGTGAATATCAAGCGGCGTAAACTTGGAATTGCGGGTCGTGTACTAGATAACAGCTCGGAAATGGAACTGGGAGAGCAGAGTTCAAATTTCAGTTGAGTTCGTTATATTTGCAAATACCCTTCAGAAAGGCATGAACCGATCTCTTTCCCCCAGCTATGAATAATTTACTAGGACTTTTATTATTGAATCATTATTATCTCTCCCCCCCAAAAAAATTCCAATCGAAAAAATATTTCCTGGCTTTAAATAACCTCCAAAAGGTTTGATACGCTGTAAAAAATCAAATCAAATAAATTTAATATTTTCTGACAAGTATCATTTGCGTATTCAAATTTTTGTGTTGTACTTTCTGCTTTTATTATTACACTGCCTAATGATGAAGGGCTATAAAGACCGAACGCCCAGGAAAACAGACGAAAGGGGCTTTGTTTCATTATGACAGTACTCCAGCATACAAGTCATTGGTTTTGTTGCGGGCCGGTTATGCTGTCTCCAACTTGTTTCGGTCGTTAGTAACATCGGTGTCTGAAATCGGAAATAAACGCTCTCCTGAAATACCCCCAGTAAACATGGTGGATTAGTGTTGTGAGTCCGCGTAAAGAAACGCAAAGAAATAACAAGAACCAATATATATATATATACAAATGAATGATAGTGTATTAACAACAAAGGTATACGAGAGACAAAGACAATGATGTGTGGAATAAAAGAAGGTGAAAACCTTTTTGGTCCAAAATTATGTGTAGTGAGTGAATGTGCGTAAATACGTGTGTGTATATGTATTGTTCGTGTGTTTTCCAAAAGGAACGTGTTCTCCGCGAGAAGTTACGTGTTGACAAATAAGCGGATAACGAGAACGAGAAAAAATATAGTCCGGAAAGCGTCCCCTAGTGGCTGTTTTGAAAATTAAGAGGAGGTAACTCGACGGTTTCAATGGCTGCTGTGTGTAACTGGGGCTTTGAACTGGTTGATCAACCACCATATTTTCCTCATTTGATTATCATTTATTCCGTAACATGAAACAGAACTTGGCTGGTAACCAGTTTCACAGTCATGATGGCATCATATCTACTGTTGATGGCGTTAAATAACAGCATGTACAGTTTTCTTAAATAACAGCATGTACAGTTTTCTTTGAACAGTCAGATGTCAGTTTATCTGGAAAGAAACAATCCAATTATTAATAAGAAGAGTTGAAATTAATGCATACAAGATTTCACGACTCTTGCTTCACTCCTTCATAGTCAGCCTATGAACTTTTCAATACACCCTCGTACTTTGGTGTTTATTCATATTGCAATCAAAACTGACATTAGAATGTATAAGAATTCTACTACTCCGAAGCTGAAAAGGTAAATGCTTCGATA